TATGAAAAATATTTCGATTCATAAATCAAAATGTGTATTCTGCACAATAATTAGCGAAAATGCGAATAAATGCAGTTGTTTTTTAAACATCCAAATTCAAATTTCTTTTAACATATGGGAGAGGCAGAGATAGACGAGCAAAAAAGAGAGAAGTGAGTTCAGAATTCGCTCATCCCAAAAGCAAACAATTCAGTCATGCGGAAAAAAGGAGAAAGAATTTTAGCGAAGTATACACAAACTTAGGCATACGTTAGATATATTGTCAATCAAAGAAACGTTTCATTGCGCAACCTCTGCCCGCTCGGGAGCAGAGAAGCACCGACCTCGAGATGACCCAAAAATTCCCGATTAAGATGCTCCTTCCACCGCTAACACCAACCACTTACCGCCTCATTCAAGACTTCACGGATGATTACATTCGCCCTTCCCCTTCCCGAATTTCTACCAATCATGGTTATCCTTTATTATCGCATGAGAGAGGAAAATAAGAGCAGGGATTTGAGAATGAAAGCGTATATCTACGGATAATTTTTTCATAGTCCGTACAAAAGCGAAATGGTTACAACGAAGATAAGTTGAAGAAAGTTGTTCCTGTAAGCCCAGGATGTATTCCCAGTTTTTGTAATTTTTATCCTTTATTTTACTATGTTATGCGGATGGGAGAGGTCAAAAATGAAGGAGAATGGAGAAGTTTTTAGCCGCATCCGTGGCAAGAAGAAACACGATGAAGAAACAATATCTGATTCTTCCTAGAATTCCAAAATCTGTGTAATTTTTTACCCTCATCTTATCAAACAGATAAGAAAAGCCCAAAACAGAGAAGAATGCAGAGGTTGACAGTTGCATCTTGATGAAACAACAGTGCATTCATGCATAAAAGTATTTTAAATTACTAGCATCTTACCAACTAGATATCAGTGCTTTTAGAAATAGCCAACTTCATCGCTTCAACACTTTTTTTGATAAAATTTTCAAAAATCATACAGATCTTGCAATTTTCGTTCGAAAATTGCTCTAATGGTCAAAATGAATTGAAAGTTCTGCGATTTTCAGAGATCACAAGAATATAAAAAAGAGGAAAATTATCAATTCACAAAAATAAATGATGTGATGCAGAGAAAGGGAAGAGGGTGAAGAGAAAGAAAGGTGAAGGACGAGACGCGAAGAGGACACATGAGGAAGGAAATGCAGATGGGAAAATGGGTGATTATTTATAAAATCACCGAACTTGTTTTTCTTTTTTTGAAAAATACCCATTGTACACTAAAAAAAATCTTCAAATTGCTGCATTTTGCCATAAATGATGCATAAGTTTTCTTTTTTTTCAATCCGAAATTTCTCCAGAGAAATTCGAAATCACTAAGACCGCTCGATTATCAGCATGGAGGCCTTGACAATGTTTAAAATGCAGCCACCGCGAAGGTGTGATCTGCGGCTACATACATCATTAACAGTGACCAGATATGGCTGGGGAAAAAGCTGTAATGATACTAGGACAGTCAAAGCTACCTGCACTGACCTGTGGCTACATATATCATAAGCAGTGACGGGACATGGCCAGGAGAAAAACTGGAGTGGTGCAAGAAAAGGTGAGGTGGTACTCGTCGGAAAGAAGGAGCAGAAAAAACTACATGAGAAAAACAGGCATTTAAAAGCTTGTTTAAAAAATTGCGACATGAAAAGGTAGTTATATTACAAGTTCTCTGGAAGCTGCAAAAAAAAAAAAAACAAACCCTTAGTTCGATGGCCTCCTCTTGCTCCTTTGTTCGTTTGGCCAAATAATCCTTTTCGAGCCTGCAAATCATGCTAATGTAACTGCCCATACGCCCTTGAAATTTTTAAATTTTGGAGAAATTTTTGTCTATCCGAATTATGGCACAGCTAACTGTGCTTGGGTTACGCACATAACCCAACAACAGTGCAATTTCACAACGATGGCTCGAATAATTTTGAAGACATTTTTCGCGCATTATAAATGTTTCAGTTCTTTCACTTGAAGTTGCTGTGATTGTTGCCACATCAGTTGGTATACGCTTATTGGTGGCCTTGGTACTTGCCAAAATGGACGAGACAGTCTAAAAATTTTTAAAGTTGCTGTGATAGTTGCTGTATAACCCGATGAGAAATCGCTGGTAGCTTGTTATCAGCAAGAGTGTACCAAAAAACAGCTTATCACTCTATCAGTTTTGACGGGTTAGGCTTAGGCTCTTTCCACCAAAAGAAATAAGGAATAGCACTAGCAAAGTTGCCTATGAAGTAATTTTAAACAAATTTGCTCGGTCTTATCACTCTATCAGTTTTGGGTTAGGTGCAGGCTCTTGCA